GCAAGTGCCCTTAAGAATTTGGCTCAATTAGACAGAGAGGGATTTACCATAACTGCTGATCGTTTGATTCGGGTCAATGATGCCAAGGTGAACCTCTGATCGCCAAATGTGAGGGGACAGCAGTTTCACGCCGAGATACCTTTAAGTTCCTTGCCAAACCCAGCCCGAACGAACCAGCAGCGAGGAGTAGGGAAATGGACCTGTGGCATCTTGGTAATTGCCTTGGAAGGTCTGATCAGATGCTGCCCTTGCCAATTACGTCAGTTGTACTGATGAACGTTGATGCCTTCGGCTTTGATGGCAAACATCCTATTAGCTGTTTGCGTTGCACCGAGTTTCAGAAGAAAGATTAGTGCAAAGCTTCCAATTTAAACGGACGTTACCTCGTCTTGTGGATTTAGGTTTTTTTTATAGTCAAAGGAGCGCAATTGGCTGCCGCGTTTCGCCCACGAAATATACAGTCAATCCACTTTACAGTATATTCTGTGGAGCGCTTTGAGACGTCTGAACGACGTGATAAGGCACCATGTCAAATGCAAGGGTTATTGTTACTATTATTATTATTAGCAGTAATATCTTTTTCTACATTTGTTATAGCAGCGGCTATATGTGATGTGAATCTCCAAACAAAGGGTGCAGTTATACAGTTATTTTATCTGGTGTAAATGCTTTTTGCTCCTCGGGGAGTGTTTTGAGAGGTTTCATGTGATAAATGTGTTTAATATTAAATATTGGATTACACCTGCAGTGATTCTCTTTGAGTGCTGCAGTGGCCAGTTAGAGACCCAGGTCTTTCTGAAGAGATAACGAATATTCCAATATCCAAAGCTGGACAATAGTGCCTGTATTTGAGCACATATCTGTAATTTGAGGGGGCAGCAAGATGCCTAATAGTAATGCTTGCATTTGATATATTTATCACGTCGTTCAGACGTCTCAAAGCGCTTCACAGGACATATTGAAGTACTAGATTAACGATCAAAATTTCCTCTTACGTTTGGATTTCTAAACAAATATAAAAGGGCAAAAAAAAAAAAATTCGTTGCAGTTTGTCCATTGCCTCTGCTTCGTGACCAGAGATGGTCAATGAAGTGGGGAGGTGGGGGTGGGTGTGGGGATTGTGGCTTGTAGTAATATCATATACCTGCAATAGCAGATATACCTACAGACTGACCTGGGGGAAGAGATTTTATTCCGGCCACTATGATCGAATCCCCCGAACTCTCTCCCTCAATCCCTCTGTCTAGCCCCCTCTTTGCCCATCTTCATATCACACCTGAAGACTTTTTTCTTCGACTGTGCTTTCAGGTCCCCCCCTCACCCTTTCCAGCTCAGCCTCAAACCGTATCACTATGTTAAGCGCCCCGAGACGCTACTAGTGTAAAGGGTGCCCAGTTAGTTGCAAAATGACGTGCCTGGCAATGGAATATCAGAACTGAATCGATCCTCTGTCTCTCTCTTGGTCATCCAATACCTGATCCAGGCAGGTCTGCAGTACTCCAAGTGACTGTTGGTGATGGACCACCAGCCTAGATCATCAGCAACACTTGGAGGAGCAGATTAATCACTGAAGATTGGGATTCTTCCCATTAGGCTCCTTCCAAGCCGAAGTCTTAGTTTGTAGCGTGATCCGAGCTAGATCACCGAATGTTGGTCTTGGGCATATTATTCCCACTTGAGTCACCGAATGGAAGACGGACACTTCCCCAGGAGGAATGAAGCAATCTTTGGAAGGGGATGGAAAGGGAATTAACCCTGGAATGTGTTCTTTGTGGCTGAGAGTGGAGTTTCAAGCCTTGGGTTGACTGTACATCTGAAGCACAGACAGCGTATAATTCTAGGAGATTTGGTGAGACAGTCTTGGAGTCTGACACTTACCTGAATAAAGTGAGGTATTGGTCGTCGATGTTTAGTCTACGAGCAAAATAAATTAGAACTTTGTGTCATGCAACAGTCCTGGGGCATTTGATAACGGGCATCTCCGTTCTGTTATAAAATAATAGTCCTTTCATTTGGTATAGCACTTTGGGAGGATGTTCTCAAAGCCTTCATAGGACTTACTGTATAAGTGTAGTGACTGTTTATTTTTGTAGGCAAACAAGGCAGCCAATTTTGCGCACAGCAACATCCCACAGACAGCCATCAAGTGAGTGAACGACGACTTGAATTTATATAGCGCCCTTCCCGTGGGGTAGTGGGGTGAGCTAAGGACGATAAAAAAGGAAGGTCTATTAGGCGGGATTTGAAGGAAGGGAGGGGGGAAAAGCGGAGGGATGAGAGAGAGAGTTCCAGAGTTTCTGGACGTAGTGGCTGAAGGCACTGTGGCCAGAACACCAGGGGAGAGAAACCCAGTGTCATGGGATGTGTAACGTTCACCTGAACAGACACAGACAGAACCTTTAACTTCTCATCTAAACGACAGCTAAACAGTGTGCGTTATCCAACACAGAATGTTTGCTCCACTGTCAATGCAGCAACAAGCTTCAGTTGTAAACTCGTGGTTTACACACTGTGAAGGGCCTTCAGCACATATCGGGCTGGAAACCATACTTGCAGCACGGTTAAGAAGACCGGCATTTGTTATGTCCTGATGCAGTGAGTTCAGAAGAACTTAAAATATATGTGATGAGGATTATGAAACAAATGGCCAGCTGACAGCGTATATACGACAGGGGTGAGTCTCTGTGTGTAACAGGAAAGTCTTGCCTTGGGTGTTCAATATTATCAGCTGATCCATCAAAGATCCGAGAGTATCCGATGATTATTGATGTGGTGATTTATGGGCTCAGGGAATTAAATATTTTTCCCTTCTGCACTCCCCCTTCCTCCCTCTGTGTCATTATCAAGGTCTTTTTGTTCAGTTTCACCGTAGACACATACAGAGCGATGCTCCCAACCCTGCCACAACATTACGTGCAGAGCCTCAGACTCTGCCTCTGCTTCACTCGCATGACTTTCCATTGCCCGCTGCCTGCCATCTCTATAATGTAACCAGTGTTAGGATGTTTCTGCTGAATTGTGTTGATGACTCTTGCCCACTCGAACAGCATTGACTTTGCCCTTAGGTCTAGAAACCGCTTTTGACCCCGCCACCAATTAATGTCCCTCCGTAACAATGACGATAGTGATGAATGCATTTGAGAGAACACCTTATCACGTCATTGAAACGTCTCGAAGCGCTTCACAGAATTTACCGTAAAGTGGTTTGACTGCGTATTATGTGGGCAAAATGCCTTTACTCTGTGTCTTGCGTTGCCAAGATGCTAGGCTAGATGCAGCTTCAGTGTTTGTTGCACGGAAAGGTGAATGGCAGCACTCAAAGCAGTCAGTGAAGGAGGAAAATGATAAGACACGGAGAAACAGATGAGAGCTGATACAACTTGAATCGGTCACCACCTTTTCTGGTTCGTTCCTAAACCCAGTGTCGGAAAGTTCTCATTTACGTAAAGCTGGGAGAGGCGGTGTGTGTGTGTGTGGGGGGGGGGGGGGGGGAGAGATTGGGGAGGACAATCTCTTCACAATATTCAATAAACAATCAAAACCGCTTTGCAGTGAATCATTGCAGCTGTAATAATTTGTCATTTATGTGCAGCAACCAGTTAACGGTTTGTGTACAGACAAAATGACAGTTACTTAGATGTCACACTGATGAAGGTCACACACACACATACACACACACGCACGGACACAGAGACAAAGCCCTCACCACACCACAGGAAGGTGATAAACTGCGCAATGCGATTTCTTTACTTAAATAGTGTTTCTCTGCCTTGTTGAAAACCCTGCGATCATTTTAGATGGGTGTGTGAATTTGTTAAAGGACAGCCTTCGTCTATCAGAAGTCATATTACAGACTGATAGTTACACTCATTTAGTTTGTGAAGGTGAGAAGAGAGAGAGAGACAGAGAGACAGATGGGGGTGGGGGAGAGGAGGGAGAAGGAGTGAAAGAAAGACAGGAGATTGGATTTAGCTTTGAAGGAGACTTGCAATTCTCTAACTCGCAATGGGATTGTCTCCAACAGATAAATACAGGAGGAAGAGGTTCCTCGTGCTCTCTGTCTCTCTCACTTTCTATGTGATGCTCTCAGTCAGCTTATCAGAGATATTGGTTCCTCGTTCAGTTAAATCTGGTCAAGTTTGCCATCACATCCTGGTACACAAGTGAGGAGAGATATTGTCCTTGAAAACAGTAGTAAAAATCCACAGAGACGTGTACTTTTTTTTTTGGTCAGTCTCATTGTACATTGGAGAAAGATGTTAATGTCTAACAAATAGTCAGGGCCAGGCCTAGTAAAAATAGAATGCAAAGAGAGTCATTACTGGCTATGAATATTTATTTGATCGCCTTGGATTGGACATGTGTTTAAAACTTCCAAAATACGTACTGCGATCCAAATTGCAACCATCAACAAGTTTTGCCTTTTTTTTGGTTGCTTTGCAGCCCCCTTTCTCCTGAATCCTCCTGCGGCTGAGATATGCGGTGCCAGGAAATGTATTGCTGAGTTGAGTGTGTAGCCACACTGCGATAAAATAACCAGGTGCAATTCTGCAGGAATAACGCAAACTGTCTAGTGTGTGTGTGCGTGCGTGTTTGTGTGTGTGTGCGTGTTTCTCTCTCTCTCTCTCCGTAACCCAGGTGGGATCAGGACAGTGAGTAGCATTTGTGGTATTAAATCAGAGTCTCCATCATAATAATAATAATAATAAATAATAATCCTTGCATTTGATATAGGGCCTTATCACGTCTTCGAGACGTCTCAAAGCGCTTCACAGAATATACTGTAAAGTGAAATGACTGTGTATTTTGTGGGCGAAACACAGCAACCAGTTGAGCACAGCAGCGTCCCACAAACAGTCGTGGGTTGAGTGAACAAATTTTTTTATTATGGAAGGGATTATTATCCCCGGAAAAGTGATCCGCCAATCGACGAATAACCGGGTTCCTGCTTACTGCTAGGTGAACAGAGGCGAGTGGATCAAGGAAACTTGCCTAACATTTTGCCCTGCCGGGAATCGAACCCAGATCCGCTCGCTCGGAAGGCGAGCGCTCTAACCACTGAGCTACAGGACTCCATGTGTTGTGCGTTCTCTCAGCACCTCTGAGATGTGCCTCGGGTTTAGGAGTCGAACATGTACCACACCTCAGCCTTGCGTAGCTGGTGTTTCACACGTCTCACAGGCGAGATGTGAGCGTTCTGCTCAGTAACTAGGGCACAGCCGCAGTTTGGCTGCAGCAACAGATCTCGGGTCATTCTTTTTGTGGAGTTAAAAGTGAGCGAGCGGCACTATCGATTGTGAGAACAAATTCTTTTAGCACTAATGAATGTTTTTGTTTCAAGGTCTGATCAAGTATCCATTTCAGATACTGGCACTCTGCAAATGCAATAGGTTAATGTTACAGCACAGCTAGTGATTTCCCCACCAGCCACCCACACAAACACACAGCTGGCTCCTGCTGAGGCTGGTGTTGAGAGGAGGAGGAACAGGAGGAGGCAGAGTTTGTGAATTGCCTTGCCTTGCCTTGCCGGTTTGCCATTTGCAGAGGTTCAGTGGCAGGGAGCACGTAGAGAAGAGAGTGTTGCATCATTGATGGTCCTGGTCAACGCGTCAAAATCGAACAAGGGAGTTTCTCCCTTGTGTCCTGTCCCAAATTAAATCAGTCATTCACTTCACGGCAGTTTATAGGACATTGCAGTCACAAATTGGCTGCTGAGTTTGCCCCCCCCCCCAAATAATAATAATCCTTGCATTTGATACGGCGCCTTATCACGTCATTGAGACGTCTCAAAGCGTTTCACAGACATACTGTAAAGTGGATTGATTTTGTATTTTGTGGGCAAAACGCGCATACAAAGTCACGTCGCTTTAGTCTATCCTGCGAAGGGGTTTGAGACGTCCTCCTGAAGAGAAAAGGTGCTTTATCAAATGCAACTATTAGTAGTAGTCCATTTTGTCTAAATCAAAGAGATTTACTTGTGGCAGGTTGTTTACAATAGAATCAGAGCAGTAGCACTTGCTCTGTTAACGAACACCGCCTCAGGTGTTTTGTAACATCCAACATGACATTTGTGGTTGACGGATCTCGAAGGGGCCACAGAAATGTTTACTCCTGCCCTCAGCGCAGTTGGGGGTATAATCAGAGATACGGCGATGAATAATTTCAGTGGCAGATATTACGTACAAGATTTATCCGCAATGTTGGAGACCACGGCAGGAAAAGGGTCGGTGCAGCCACCATTCAGGAAAATCTGAACGAAACTGGAAGTCGATGAATCATTCAACATTCATTGCAGCTTTAACTGTGGTCTGATATCCGATTAGTATTTAGAGCGATATCTCTGCTGTAATATATACACGCACACATACACACACACCCTGACTAGGGAATCACCAGGAAACATAAAATAACAAGTTACTCTAACAAATAAGTGGGCAAAGACCTTGAAGGATTCAATTGCCAAGTCTGTTTGTCGCGTTGCATTGCAACTGAGACAAAATGAAGCAACCTCACCCTACACCTCCCAACTCAAGTTAAATCACTCCTCTCCCTTCCAGGCAGTGACTGTATTTACTTCTTAATTTGGTGCACGCAAGGCATACCTTTGATACCGTTGTTTATAATGCGTGGCGAGATTTGTGAAGTCGCTTGATTTTATATTAAGAAGGGATTAATTTATTGTAGGAAATGCAAGCCTGCAACTGCAAGACTCCACTTCGCTGCACGTAAATTGTGTGTTCGTTAGATTTATATCAATTCCCAGTGAGACCTGGGCGAGCGGAGGAGAAATCAGTGTGTTCTGTGTGTGTCTGTGGAACGAATGAGACTAGCAAGTCCACACCTCTTCATACCTAGTCAGTGAAGAATACATTTCTTCTTCAGAGGAATAAATAATTTTGGAGCAGCACTGGTACGCTCAGGGAATCCACTTTTGCTGATAATATTGGTTTAGTTTTATTTGGGGACAGCTGTTATTATATTACATTTATGTTGCATTTAAAACAGAGAGAACAAGACTGACTGCAGGGAAGGATTTTGACCTGTGTTTGCAGAACAGATGTGCAAACCGGTATCTAATATCTGATCAGGGTTAGGTCGTTGCATTCATGGGAATTATGCCAAATCCATCCAGTAAACTGTTTGTTCTTATCCAGTGATGCCGGATGAGTATTTATGCAATCAGTCTGGCTAGTCGGGTTTTGATGATTATTATTATATTTAGGCCCTTATGAACGCCATGAAACAAATGGAATCCTTTCAAACTGACGGAGAGGAAAATGCTTCATTCAGGCTCCAAAAGGTTTCAATAATAATAATAATCATTGCATTTGATACGGCGCCTTAGCACGTCTTCAGGACATCTCAAAACGCTTCGCAGAATATACTAACAAGTGAAGTGACTGGATATTTAGTGGGTGAAACGCAGCAGCCAATTGCGCACAACAGTGTCCGCACAAACAATCGTGGATTGACTGACCAAATTATTATTATTTTTTATAAAAGGATGATTACCCCTGAAAAAGCGATTACCAATCGAATGACAACCGGGTTCCTACTTACTGTTGGGTAAATAGAGAGGTGTGGAGTAATGGAAAGTTGCCTAACATTTCACACTGCCCGAGAATCAAAGCCAGGTCCTCTCGCTTGCAAGGCGATCGCTTAAACGCTTGTTAAAGGATTGCGTTAAACACCACAAGCACCTCGAATAGTGGATAGCGTTTGGTGTGGTCGGCAATGGAGCTCTTGGTAATCTAGTGATATTGCTCTGGTGCTATGTGCCCTGGTGGTCTAACACAGGAGACATACGCGACCTGTACACATATGCTCCCTAACCAACCTTGTTCCGTTTACCCTTTGGTTTGAAGGGGTCTGACTCTTGCATCCTCTGATTACATTACTAATTGATATTAATGTAGCACCTTTCCCGTCAGAAGGACATCCCAAGACTCCAGCAGTGTAGTTATCTGAATATTCACTCTTTTGAGTGCAGGGCACATTAGTTATTCAGGGAACAGCACTGATGCAAGTGAATTATAGCACTGTCCTTACCATAAAGCATTTACTTTTATAACATTATTATGTTTACATGTTGGCACCTGTCATTGTCTTTGAGTGACACTGATCTTCCGACTGGGAGAATGGCCCATAAAGGTAAATTTGTTGCCCCATGAATCAACGGATCCAGGCAAGTGAGAGCAACATGGGATGAATCGCTTTGTCATTCTTCCTATGTTAGGGGACACCCAGGCAATATTCTTTCAATGAACGGTGTTGAGATGATTCCAGGGAGCAAGAGGAATGAGTACACTGGTTACAAGTGACAGATCACTTGTTTAACCCTCTCTCGCGCAACTGTAAGCAAGCAGTTCCCAATTTATGTAACGCCCTTTTACACCCATACAACTGTAAGCTCCCAGAAACCGCAGTGGTTAAATAACAGAAATCATTTACTTTTTGGGGGAAGAGAATGGCTTACTCTTGGCTTGTGGAGACTTAATTATAATAATAATAATAATAATAATTCTTGCATTTGATATCGTGCCTTATCATGGCTTTGAGACGTCTCAAAGCGCTTCACAGAATATACTGTGAAGTGAATGGACTGTATATTTTTGTTGGGGAAATGCGGAAGCCAATTTGCCAGAGCAGCGTCCCACAAACAGTCATGTATTGAGTGACCAAATTATTATTACTCTTTTGAAGTAATTATTACCTCCGGAAAAGCGATCCGTTCATCGATTAACTACTGGGTTCCTACTTGCCGCTAGGTAAACTGAGGCGTGTGGAGTAAGGAAACTTCCCCAACATTTCGCCCTGCCAGGAATCAAACCCAGGTCCTCTAGCTTGCGAGGTGAGCACTCTAAACACTGAGCTGTAGGATAATAATAATTATTGATAATAATAATCTTTGCATTTGATATAGGGCCTTATCATGTCTTTCAGACGTCTCAAAGCGCCTCGCAGAATGTATTGTGAAGTGAATTGACTGTATGTTTCGTGGGCGAAAGAAAACGAACATATCAGACTTACGCAGTGCCTTTCACATAGGAAAAAAAGCCCTTCACACGGGCGATGGGAGAAGGAGGAGAATTTAAGGGTTCTCGCCAAAGACACGGTCCAAAAGAGGTTTTCCAAGGGGTTTTGAAAGCACAAGCTCATTTGTAATTCACTATTCCCATGGTAACATGCTCGCATCCCTTATTCTACAGGTACAGCGTTCAAGTTAATGGAAGACTTGACTATGAGTTTCACCATTTATCTAGCTTTTTGCATTCTCCTGATTTCTCTTTCTCACCCCCCACCCACCCCACCTCCAAAACAAAAGTCTGTCTCTGACCTCGTTATAAACAGAGCATAGAACATTTAAGATTTTTAACCAGTTTGGGGGGGTTTTAGTACAACAAATAAATAAGGACAACTAGTATAGTAAGTAGGATGCTGGTTGTCAGTCGGTTGGTGGATCGCTTTTCCTTGGGTTATTATTATTAAATGATTATTAAATTATTATCCCTTCAAAAACAATAATAATAAATTGGTCACTCAACTGGCTGCCGCGTTTCGCCCCCAAATTATACAGTCAATTCACTTTACAGTAGATTCTGTGAAACGCTTTAACAAAGCATCTCTACGATGTGATCAGGCGCTATGTCAAATGCAAGGATCATTATTATTATTATGATTATTATTATTAACAAGTAGAGCAGTGATGCTTTTCCAAGCCACACCTTGTGTTCTATTGGGTCTCAGAGGATCTTAAGGCATTCTTCTAAGCCATACTCACTGACATCAGTTAGTAAACTAATGACCACGGCTCAATCCTCATTAATCTCTGTGGTTTGAAAACCCATTCTCTTTAGGATTAAGTCAGACAATAGCCGCATGCTGGTTCATAATTTGCTTCACAACGTTCTCAGCTGTAATGTCACCGTGAACGTTTGCAATCCATCCACCTCAGCATAATCCTCAGCAACTCTGAGTTCAGGGAGCAGTGTAAATGTTTACTTTGTCATTATAGAATTATTTCAGTCAGATCACCAACCACAACCACCCCCCACCCCACACACACACACACA